TAGTCAAAGTTCAGACCTTCATCCTAGTTTAAACGGATTTAAACTTATGTTCAGTTTGACTTTGCTTAAATGACGTCGCGAGAAAAGGTGCAGTACTTCAGTCTGTCGACGGGTGGCGCTGTTGGAGGAGCTTCGGTTTGATTAAAGGATTTAATCTGAACATGTTTCTCCGCGTTCCTTCCTCAGCCCGTCCCCAGATTGTTCTTCGCCGGCGAGCACACGATCAGAAACTACCCGGCTACCGTCCACGGCGCCCTGCTCAGCGGTCTGCGCGAGGCCGGCCGCATCGCCGACCAGTTCCTGGGCGCCATGTACACGCTCCCCAGACAGGCCACGCCCACAGCAGCCAGCAACCCACAGCAAGCACAGCCCGCCGCCACCGTCTGAGGGGGGTCCGGTCCGAACATTAACGACATCGCATCAGTTTGGTTTCTTTACTGAAATGGTTCACCTGGGGTGTTGGGATTATCAGATAATCTGCAATTATAAGAGAGACGGACTTACTTTTTAAGAAGATGGATTTAAAAAAAAGTAAGCGAAAAGATTAAAAGATATTTCATTGATTTGGATTCAGTTGATGATAAACATTTGATCTTTCATCTAAACCCAGATTACTATGATTTAAATGATCTGCAGATTTTTTTAAGGATGATTCACTCCAGATTTGTTTTCATAATATAGATGAAATTATGAAATTATCCTTTCCTTCCACTTAAAACTAAATTCTGTCCATTGAGATGAAAAAATTCGTGCCAGCGAGAGGAATAGTTCAAGTAGAACAGAAAAGATATAGATTATTTATTCCAGATGAGTATGGAAATGTAGGAACCTTGAATACCCCAAATTATGAAATTCATGAAAATCCATCATAATTAACACAGAAGGATGGGATTATTCCAGCTAATCTTAGATTATTTCTGACCTTTGACCTGACGTCTCTTCACCAAGTGGAACCATAAATGTGAGGGAACGTTTCCCTCTGGAAAGAAGACTTTTCTTTCTGTTACACTAGAAGCTCAACATGTCCTGAACTGTAGCCGTTTATCTTAAACTCTGTAGTGTAGTGAAAGTTTGTGCTCAGAGCTTAAAATATTCTTTTTTTTTTTTTATGAAAATCCTTGTTTTTTTTTGTTTCTTTTTCAAGTTTAAGTGTCTAAATTTGTTGTTGAAATGTTTTATTATCTTGTGAAATGTTTTGTTAATAAAAGAAGAGCGACATTAAGGCCTTAAAGTTGTGGAGTTTGTTGGAGGTGAAACTCCAGATGTCTGTCTGGTGAAAAAAAAACAGTAATTTAAAGCAACACTGTGCTGTTTCATCCAACTGTTCGGTTAATGTGATATATAAAATGATTTCTCAGGTCAATATTCAGCAGTTGGAGTGCTGATGCGCCTTGCGGAAAGCTCTTCTCATAAACTCACCTGCCTCAGGTGTCGGATCGTCTCTGATGGATCATGGGAGCCAAAGCGCCGCTTTACGTCAGTCTGAGCTCCCCTTAAACACCTGAGCTAACAGCTCTGATCTGATCAGACATGTTTCTGGTTCTCTGCTGGAGGATATAATCTAGAGTGAATGTTTCCTGGTCTTAACCAGGAACTCAATGATTCCGCAATCTGCCGGTCTGAACATGTCTGATAACGGAACACGGAGGGATCCTGGTTGATCTGGCCACAGCGCTGCGCTGCTTCCTGCTTTCAGGTTTCGAGAAAAATGTGTTTATTGAAAGCAAATAACTCATTGGAAATGAAATGAATAAAAAAGGCTAGTGTGCCTGATCACACTAGCCTCGTGAGACCTTGTGAGGACGGCTTAGGAAGTTCTGGTTTAGTTTAAAACCAGGGTTAAGTTCTAAGACCGTCTCTGTTCAAACCATCATTTCCTCCTGGATTAGTTTAAAACCAGCTGATCTGGGTCTGGGCTCCTTACAGGATGAAATGTGAAGCGTCTCCATCAGTCTGGACAAACAGAACATCATGTTCAGGAGAAGCAGGAGACGATGATCATAACTAGTGGAGCAGTTTTTTTAACAGAGCGATGGATGTGCTGACTTTACATTCCTCAGCAGCTTGTGGTTTTTTTTTTCCCCCTTCTTTGAACTCGACCAATTTGCCTGGTTTGTCTGCTCGCCGTCAGCCATTCCCCTCCTCCTCACACGTGTGCATAAACCTCCAAAAGATGCACTGCTGTGAAATCCCAACTCGCTCAGCTCAGTGAAGCAGAAACAGAAGTGGACAGAAGACGGAGTGTTGCAAACAGGTCGTTTTTTTTTCAATTTTTATTGGAGTACATACGGTTTGGTCTGCTGTACAGTTGGCAGCTTTAAAAGAGGCCTACATGCAGGGTGTGCCAGCAAGGTTAAAACATGCACATTGTTTCAATCTAAAACTGATGGCGTTAAAAAAAAAAAAAGGAAAAGGATCCACCAGGCTGCTCCGCCAAACTCAGATCCAATAACAAAAGTTAAACTCCTAAAATCTTTGTAGAGGAAGAGGGATCCAGATAAAAATAGCCTTTAATTCTCAATTAGATTATTTCCCAATTTACATTTGACATATATATATACATATATATATGTATAAGGGTGGGGGGGCTGCATGCTTTACTCTTTGGCAGCACTGAAACATACAGAAGATGTAAAAACCCTGAATTTATGAAGGACATCAGAGCAGATCTGAGGCTGAAGAGCCAAACGGCTCCACTTTAAAATGAAAACGGCGTCGTTCTTCACCTCCGTCTCTCATCTGCTGGTTTCATAATGAGCGGTCTGAGGTTTCAACAGCCAGAAACGCAACAAGGACTCTCCAGGAGTGTAAGAGCGACAAAAAGACAAAAACAGAAGGAAAAGCTATCTCAAAATCAAGAAAAAAAAAGGACAAATATTTAATAATATAGTTTAACAATAAGGCCCACTTTACAAAATTACACATTTCTCCTTAAATAAGATCGATCTGATATAGATTCAAAAATAACATTTAGTTTGACAAAGAAATAAAAACGTACAGGAGCAGAAAAGAGTGAGCATCTCCGCTTTAATCCAGCATCTTGGAGATGGCTCCTCTGTCGGGTGGGGTTTGGGGGGGGTCATGTAAACTGTAAATACTGTGGAATGATTTTGGCACGACATTAAAAACAAAGAATACAAACGTTAACGACTGACGCAGAGTTCTGCAGCAGGTTCTGGAGCAGAACGGGTTCAGCTGGACTTCGAGTGGAGAAGAACTCCAGAACTAGAAGCTTCTTCTGAAGATCCAAGCCCTTTCTAGAAGCCGGTTAAATGCAGATTATATCTAATCCCGATCGACGGCTTTACATCCTAAATGCGACCCGTGACTCTTCGTGTCTAGAGCTGCTGTCGTGGTTCTGGGTTTCCTGGTTCCCGCTGAGACCAAGTTCGGGTTTATTCTGGGTTTCTGTTCCTCCGCTGCTGATGAGAAGCAGCAGAGCTCCGGTTAAACCAAACCGATGAAGCATCAGGAGGTTTTTCTGACCCGGTTCGACCCGCCTGATCCAAACGGTTCCCCTCGGGTTCAGAAACCACCCAGAAACCATCAGGCTGCGGGAAAGCTCCCGGCAGAAGCGTTTCAGTACGGTGTCCTTAAATCCCGTCCTTGAATGTGACAAATTCAACCCTGTGCATCCAACGCCGACCATCGGATACGACTATTCGGGCCGTTGTTAGATCACAGACGTCTCTGCTGAGCAAGCTCCTGCATGTAGAAGCCCTGAGTCAAGTCCTAGACAGAATTAGACACAGCCTTGACCTCTGACCTTTCAGCAGAGGACATAAGAAACATGAAACAGGCGAAGACTTTGAAGGGAAGCACAGAGGAACCAAAACAGAAAAAAGGTGGAACCTGTTCAAAGGAGGATATAGACTGAAGTCAGACGTCCTGAGCTGCACCTTAGAGTCTGAGCCTGCAGGGACGCCTCGTCTGCAACCTCCAAGGCACAGATGGTCACAGCCAACATGGAAGAAACAACTGATGTGCAGGAACACACGTTCCCAAACCTTTTTTTTTCTAAAAAATAATGATTTTCCACCCAGACGTGCATCAGGAAGGAGGCTACAGCTGCAGACGGATCAGCTGCTGGCATTAAAAGGTAAAGTGACGGCGTGGCAACAGGCTGCTAGCAGGATGGCGGTCGTAGAAAATAATCCCACATCAGGGCCTTTCCTCCATCATCATCATCATCCTGTGCAGCTTTCTGGAAATCCTCACAGTAAAACCTGCTTCGCTTCATCCAATAAATCCACTTCTGTCTGAATCTGCATGATTCAGTTTACAGTACCCCCCCCTCCTGTAACAGTGCAGCATTTTTTAACGACGGCGGCGGAAGTGCAGGTCTGCTGGCAGTCCAGGACTGGAAGGCCGCCTTAAACCAAACTTTTCCTCTATGGCTCTTAGAAACAAACAAAGACGAATAAAAAAAGAGGAGAGAGGGACGCCTCCTCTGTTCCTCCACATGGCGCTGCTTTCTAAATGTGTGCAATTTGCTTTTATTTCCATCTGATGTGAAGGAAGAAGGAAGAGCTGAAGCAGAGTTACGGGGAAGAAAAAGCATAAATAAGATCCCAGTTTGGCTGATTGAAACCAGCCGCTGTCTTCCTTTAAGCAGAGAGCATGCCGACTCACAGCCTTCAAGTGCTTCTTTTTTTTTCCTTGGACATGCGGATGTTCGCCCAGAAGGTGCCAATGAACCTCTACGTGCTCCTGGTTCTCCCATGCATGGATATCAACAGGCGTCTCACAGCCAGGTTTAATTATCTTCCCGTCTTTTGGTCGCAGGTGGAGACGTTTCGGTTCTACGTTCTTAGAACCGGGTCAGTCTGGGTTTTTATTCAGAGGAGGGAGGATAAAATCCTTCTCCGACATGCAGGAAGATCCTCGGCCCTCAGCAGCACGCCGGTCTCTCCGTTGTCGGGGTGATGGGGGGCGGGGGGGGGGAGCAGAAGACATCCAAAGCAGAGCAGGAAGGAGGCTGCAGACGGTTGCATCAGGTGTTCAGAAGACGTGGAGGATGGAAACCTGGCTGGAAGCTGCAGAGGAGAAACAATCAGTCAGTAAATGCTGCTTCCCTCTAAGAACAATCTGATTCTTCAAACAGGCTGTAATTACTTTGATTTCCTAAACACAAGTCGGTTCATTTGCTGCTAATTTGGGGGGAAAAACTCGGCGAGTTTGATTCCAGGAATATTTTTTAAGTCCAGAAAAAACAGGAGACGGCTTCCAGGATATTTGCTCCAGTTGTTAAAAGTGCTCCAAACAAAGACACACACCTTATGGTTAGGTCAAAATTAGCTTTTTTTTGCAGAGAACCTTAAACGCATCATGACATTTAGAAGAGAAGGAGGAAATAATTCAGAAGTTTAATGTAAACAAACAAACAATAATTGGGAAAAAAGTTTCTTCTGCCTTGAATCTTTCTTTTTCAGCTACATAATTTGATTTTATCCAGAACTTTCATTTTAGTTTGTGTTTTTTGTTTTAAATATCAGATGTTTTGACGACACTGACGACCTCAGCATCATTTTTATCAAACACTTTTTTACTTGAGTCATTTCCTGGATGGCTAATAGTTTTACACTGATTAATCGTTACTCTACCCTCCTCTGGATGTGATGATGAATAAATGAAATGAGTCCACCATGTTTCTCTACAAGCCTCCTAGAAATGGAGGCTACAGAACTCCTTCACATTTTCTCTAGTGTAAAACTAAAAACACTGGCGACTCTGGAGGAGCTGCAGAGGCGCAAACCCGGCCTTTATGAAAGAGTTTCAAACCAAGCAGGAGAGACTGGAGGGGCTTTAGTCAGATAGATGGATAGAGAATCCATTCAAACTTCAAGAACTGATTCGATTTATAATCTGGATTCCTCATATTAAAAGATGTTTTCTTTAACCTGAATTTCATGACTCTGTAGCTGTCTAAGTATTAAACTAACATTCAAGAGCAAATTAATAAAGTAATGGTAGTTAATGGTAAGAGGTGAAAAATGGTTCTAAGTATTAAATATGAGAAATGATTCAGAGTTTAAAAATATATATCCTCTGACATGGGAGCTGGCTCGGAGCTCGTCTGCCTGGCTGTGTGTTTCCTGGACAGGCTGCCTTTTATAGCTGCTTTTTGTATCTATGCTTCTTTTTCTATGTCTGCTTCTGTCTCCTTGAACCCCAGTGGGCCTCAGCAGATGGCCGCTCACACTGAGCCTGGTTCTGCTGGAGGTTTCTTCCTGTTCAAAGGGAGTTTTTCCTCTCCACTGTCGCTACAAGCATGCTTAGTGTGAGGGATTGCTGAAGAGTCAATGAGTCGATGCAATCAGCTGGTGTTCCTTAGATAGAAAACTTTGAATAAATCTGACTGGATGATCTGGTGAACTGGAAAGTGACCTGAGATGACATGATGTGAATTGGAGCTATAGAAATAAACTGAATTGAATTTATATATATATATATATATATATATATATATTTTTTTTTAGATAAGAGCAAAAGTTAACCATTTGAGCTTCATATAAACTATGTGCTGCTGAGAAACGAAAAGTTTTAACACACCACGGTGGTGGCAGCATCATGCTGTGGGGTTGCTTGTTAGAGGACCAGGATGGAGCAAAATGATCTTTAAATTAAAATCCTTAAACGGTTTAAATAAGAACATATTTAGCTGTGTTTACATCGTAGGGATTTTATGCACATTTTGAAGTATTGCTTTGGAACAGCTTTAATGGAAAAAAAAAATTATCTGATGCATAAATTTCATAAAGATTTTAACTCTCCCTTTGAAAGGTTTTTTGGACTTTCACAAAAAGTAAACACGCTACAGAGACATAGCAAACATTTAGCTCAGGGTGGTTTTCGCCGCCGGGGTCCTGAATGCTAACATTAGCGTTAGCTAGCTAGCTGCCTTTTACTTCCTGTTTATTAATCTAAACGTATGAAGACGTTACATCACCTGGATCTAAGAGGCTTTTCCTTTTATTGACATTTTAAAAATGAGCATTACCTGATAGAAACACAGCTACTGAGGTGTCAGAATGGCCTAGTTAAAGTCCACACCTCAATCTAACACCAGCACCCTGCTGTCTGGGTTTTTAAGGCTACAAAATGGAAAATATTTTTAACGAACCGTAGGTTCTTCTGAGGTTTTTCTAAAACTTTAGAAGAAAGAAACATGCAGAGGTGTCCTCCTCCTACCTGCCTCCATCCTGCCTAATGATGCTCCGACTGACACTGGTTCCACGATCGGTGTCCCGCTCCGGTCCTCGATCCCCGACCTCGGCTGGACCAAGACTCCCCTCCTCTGGATGAAGACCCCGTTGTTTTGGTCAACCGGTCATAGGAGCTCCCCAGGTGCTGCTGGTCACTGGGGGGCTGGTGGCGCCTCCAAGAGGCCGGGCTGAGGGCGGGGTTAGAGGACAGGTCTGGATTCTCTTTAGCCTGGATGAAAGAACAATGAAATACGGTGAAAACGCCGCCTGATTTAAAGACTTCAACTCAACTTTATTTATCCCTGGGGATTACTCCTTCAGAGAAATTCTGGTTCCAGTTGCTTATATAGATTACAAAGAGTTAAAGCAAGACGAAAATATGACAGACAATATAAAAAGAGTTTATATGGTACAAAGAAAGCATAAAAAAAAGAAAAAAGTTGTTACATCCTGGGATACGTTCCCCTTGGATTATTGCACTTGTACTGCAGAGATGTACTGATCTTATAAATGAGTAAAAAATGATCGGACTACGCAGTAGTTAGCATGTGTTATTGCACAGTGAGAGAGTAGAAAACTGCACAGGGGTGACGGTACGTAATGTTTTGCATAAGATGTTAAAGGAGCTAAAAGCAGCAGGACGTCGGCCCTGGAGGATGTGAGTTTTATTCCCCCAGATTAATCTATCAATTTATTTTTCTATTAATTCAATAAGACATCCTTTTAGTAACTTAACATTTCTACATATAAAAAATTTGAATATATAACAAATAATTGCTTATTTTAAATGACTTGCAATGCTTATTTAAAATATAAATTATATGTTAATCAGTCGATCATTAAAACCCATATTTTAATGATTGAAAATGATTCATATTTTATATATATATGCATCCTTCCTTCTTTAATAAAGAGTTTTGTCATATTAACTGCTTTAATTAGGTTTGTTGGTTCAGAAATGTAGGTTTTGTAAAAGGAAGAACTGAAATACACAGTAATGGATACAATTTCTGCAGAAAGGAGAGACAGTTGAACCCCAGACTCGGACCTCCTCCGCAGAGCGTTTTATTAACAGAACATGACGCATGGTTACAAACAGAGTATTGTTCTGACAGAACAATTGATCGGTTCATGAAGACAGAATGCTCCATCAGAATGACGAGGCAGGATGGTCTCCTGACTGGATCATGAGACAGGAGTGGAGCGTCTCATTTCTACAATGTTTCCTATGAACACACATTACTTTAATAATCATCACTGAATGAACCTAAAAAGGTTATTTTTACATCTAATGTCCTGTTTTAGAGTCTGTGTAACATTTATTTATCTAATACATAATGTTTCACTGAATAATTACACATTTATTTAATGGATGAATTGAATAATGCATTGAAAGTAATGACTTCCCTTCCTACAATAACTTGAAGCAATATTAGGGGGTCACCAAGTTGTAAACGCCCCCTTTTGTTAGGGGGGTTCTCATATGTGGCCATTAAAAACATGCTGTTTGGTGTGCGACAGTGAAAGTCTGCCAGGAGAAAAATTCCCAACCAAAAACCCCAAACATACCCCAAGCTGAGAGATTTATAATCATGGTGGGCCCACTAGAAAATAGAGGCCAAGTTACTAGCTTGTGGTGGCTGCCTCGGCACGTTCCCCCTCATGGCCTGGGTAACCCCGCAGCAGGAAAGGGAAAGTAAGATGACGGTGCAGTTCCACCAGCCCGCTCCTGTAATTTCAGCTTTTAAAAAAAGCACCATAATTAGTGAGATTTGCTGGGCTGGAGCTTCTGCCGGTGCCGTTTTAGAACGCATTCTCACTAATTGGCTTTAATGGAGCCCTGCTGGCCGGCCTTTCTTCGTCTCCAGGGGTAACCGACAGGAAACGAGTCACCCGCCAGCACCGCCGAGTGGGTGTGCCCAGCGTGGTCACTTCCTGCTGCAGTCGCTGAGGGAGGAAACGCAGACGGGCAGTTTTCTCCTTCTATGGGCACCAAAAGCTGCTCATACTTGCACAACTTCTTAGGAAAAGAGCCGATCCAGCAACCTAAAGCTGAGCGTCACGATGCAGCAGAAGATATAATCCCAGTAAAGTTTTCACACCCTTGGATTTTACACATTTTTCTGTCCATTTCAATTAACAAAAAGTGATGTTGAAACCTTTTTGTTATCAGCTGCCTCTAATCCGATTCCCTTAAATAAAATTCCTGGAACCACAAAAGTGTTTTCAAATCAGTTTTTTTTAAAGATGTTTTGACCCCCATCCAGGAGTCTTTGTCAGATCTGTCGGCTCCATCAGATCAATTAGTTGGAGCGCTGATGCATTTAAGCAGCAGGCAGGTCCATCTTTCCCTAATTCCTCCTGATTGTTGGAATCTTTAAAAGGTCTTCAGAAAGAACTGGGTGGAAATCCGGTTGATCATTTTGTTGAGGCCATGACCAAAGGCAGAATCCAGGGAAACTAACAACTTTAAGAAGTTATTATTGGAGACCAAGCATTTTACATAAAGCTATAAAATATCAGACATGGTGGTGGCAGCATCATGCTGTGGTGATGCTTTGGTTGAGGGACGGCAATGAGACGATTGGTGGAGCCAAAGAGTGGATTGTTAATCCATGTATCATTTATTCATTTTTAAGCTTGAAACCAAATATGAAAACATGAGAAACAACCTTTTAATTTTTAAACAAATTTTGTTTCATACATTAATGTAGAAAAACGAGCGGTTATTTTTTTATTCAACATTTCCATACTATAACTGGGAAGAAAAGGGATAACAAGCAGGTGAATTTAACCGTTTATTCACGGATAAACAGACCGCGGTCCGGATCCAGACCCACCTGCTGGCTAATCCAGACCCATCCTGATTTAAAACATTTATAAATTACCGCATGTTGTCTGACGATAGTGTCTAAATTCACTTGCACTGCTTCTCCTGTTAATACGGTAAAGCCCTGGGAGCGTCCGGCTCCAGGCTGCACCTGATCCAAATGAGCCAATGAGCTGTCAGTCTGGGTTGCTGCTGCTGCTACTTTTAGACACAGCAGGCAAACCTGTGGCAAGCCGGGCGATGGGAAAGAAAATAATTACTATTATTTTATGAAACAGAAGCCATTAATACACAGTTGTTTCTTGTATTTTCATCGTTTAATTCTAATTAAAAAATGACTGAACTAACGAGACATGGATTTAATCTGCTGGTCGGTTAAGTTTCCTCTTAGAAGGAGATATAAAAAAACAAAAAAGTGGCTTTTAGATTTTTGTTTTGGAATACAGAAATTAAAATAGAAAGTTTATCTTTTTCTGTATCAAGAAGAGATTAGCTCCATCCGTCCATTTTCCTTCACGCTTATCCCGAGCGGGGCGGCGATGGATGCTGGTGTCCATCTCCAGCTGTCTACGCGCGAGAGCCGGGGTCCACCCTGGACTGGTCACCAGTCCATCACAGGGCAACTCAGAGACACACAGGACACACAACCATTCACACTCACTCACACCTAAGGAGAATCTAGAGAGGTCATGTTTTTGTACTGTGGGAGGAAGCCGGAGTACCCAGAGAGATCCCACGCAATCCTCAGGGAGAACATGCAGACTCCATGCAGAAAGAGGAACCTTCTAGCTGCAAGGCGGCAGTGCTACCCACTGCTCCACTGAGCAGCTCCGGATAAGCTCAGCTTAGAAAATAAATTCAGTTTTACAAAAAAAAAAAAAATACTGAAATGTAAAAAGATCATTTTTATTATAGGGTGACCAAACGTCCGTATTTCCCGGGACATATCCGTATTTCACGTCCTGTCCCGGGCGTCCTGGGTTTTTTTTACAAAGTGAGGAAATGTCCTGTTTTTTAAATTACCTTCATTGGACCATTAAATTTACAGGCACTAGGGCACGACGCTGCGTGTGACGTAATCCCTGAGCCACGTCAGTGCGGGCAGCCCTGTTCTTAATCAGAATATAGATTGCGTGGCTGTCAGTACGCCAACAACATTTAAAAGTGAAAATGTATGTTTACCGACGATTTACAAAAGAGTTTCCCCGCTTTCAGACCGGGTCGAGACAAAGGGGAGGCCTTGTGCACAGCGTGCAAAGCAGGCTCATATGGCTCGGTGTCCAATGGAGGTGCAAGGGATCTGAAAAGCCACCTGGACTCCGAAAGTAAAGATAGTCTATTGATATGTTTGTTCGTTTTTGGTACAATTTGAATAATTTTTGCTACACAAGAGGTATTTTTTATCAATTAGCTCATTTGTTTATTTGTTTTTTCCAATATCCTACAGAACAGACATTATTTCCTTCATTGCTGAGGCTGAGTATCATCTGTTATTGGGAGTTGAGAGTTATTGTTAACTTTTATTGTTAAGTGAGGGATGTTTAGATGAGACATTATTTCTTTCTTTGTTCTATTCATTCATTACAGGAATTGTTAAGCATTTTTAATAAATACATTTTGAATAAAATTATCATTTGTTGTTGTAATTATTGCTGTTGAGTTTTACTGAAAAGCATTTTTAAAAAATCAACTATAAATATCATGTTATTGTAGGATTACGTAGGCCTATGTTAAGTGAATGCATGCCACAGACATCCCGTTACTGCACGTTACTCAGGTCACACAATGAACCTTTTTTCATGATAGGACTCGTGCGCGCGTCATGAGAGGGGAGGATGGAGAGTGAGGAGGACTCCAGCGGCAAAACAGCGCTTTCCAGATGGAAATACCGGTGTTACATCGAGCTGCGTTTCCCCATCAGATACGGTTTCCCCTGCATCACCGCAAAGCACGGTGGCACAATTCACCGCGCAAGCGACAGGAAACGCACATGCTAGCTAAAGGCGCGTAACAGTCGCCCTGTGCTCGCGCCACAGGGGAACTACGGAGAGCGTGAACGATCATTAGCCTATATGGAGAAAGAGAGAAATATGGACGGATGGATGGATGGATGGATGGATGGATGGACGGACGGACGGACGGACGGACGGATGGATGGATGGAGCTACATGTTGCAGTATCTATAACAACCCAAACACAGGATTTCAGAATTAGACATCCCTACACTCGCAAAAGTAAAACAATAGTTACTTTTACTACTAACTAGTTACTTTTATTGTGGAGTAACTCAGTTACTAACTCAGTTACTTTTTGGGAGAAGTAACTAGTAACTATAACGAATTACTCTTTCAAAGTAACGTGCCCAACACTGTGGACACATGAAAAGAAAGGCTTTGAAT